AGAGGAGGAGAAAGAGGGAGAGACGGATTATGGAGCTGCCACTGGGGCCTTGGGGAAGACCAGGGGCTGCAGGAGCTGTGGGTTGTTATAGGGCAGTGTCCTCACTATCCTCATATCAGCTGTGGGTGTTATAGGGCAGTGTCCTCACTGTCCCTGTGAGCTGTGGGTGTTATAGTGCAGTGTCCTCACTGTGCCTGTGAGGGGCTGCAGGAGCTGTGGGGTGTTACAGTTTTCCCAGGCTGTTTGTGACTGGGAATCCCCCATGAGGTTCCAGGGGCTGCCATGAGGGACATGACCCCACTCCACCTCTGTGAGGTGCCACCCATCCCTTCCCCCTCCACACACGCCCACACCCACCCCACAAGGTGGTTCTCACCCCACAGTCACTGCTCTCGTGTCTGACATTAGGACAAGAGTTTGCTGAAGGCTTTCGAAATAAAGCTGCAAATTTGAGAGGAATCTGCAGTTTTTGCACAGAAGGAGGAATTAACTGTGATGGAACACAATTCCATCACTTCAGGGATCTTCTGGCTGCAAAGAGGTTTCGGTGATCCGAGCTGGGGGGCAGGTGAAAGAGGATGTGTGAACTATGGAACATTTAAGTAAAGAATAGTGTCTGTGCCTACACTGCCTGGATCCATCAGTTCCCGGGCTCCCTGGATGACCTGGTCAGGCACTGGGAAAAGGAAAGGCATTTCCACCCCAAAGCAGAGTTTTGCACGTGAATCTGTGTCAGGACAGCCCCACGTTTTCCTTTCCATCAGAGATCTTCCAAACCTTAGGTCTGTGGTCACGTTCCTGCACTTTAACAAGCAGCAGCAGGAGCAACGAGGAGGCTGCAGGAGCCACCTGTGGGAAGTGTTTTCCCATTTCTTGTTCAAGTCCCTGTCAGTGCCACCTCTGATGTTTCCCAGGCTCGGGGCAGCCGATGGGAAACGCTGACACTGCCACGGATCCGAGGGAAGGGAGCCCAGGGAACAGGAGCTGGATCAGCCTGACCATTGCCCCGTTCCTGTGGGAATCCCTGTGCAAAGGACTGCCCAGACACAGTTGAATGTGCAGAGAGCAGGAGATTCCTCCTCCCCGTGCCAACAAAAACCTTGGGAACCAACCAAGCCCCAGTGAAAGCGCCCGGCTTGTGTTAAAGTAAATAACTGATAGAGCCAAGATTATCCCCGTGCACAGGAACAATCAGCCCGTGAATTACCCCAGCCAGGGATTATTTGGCAGTTGAGCTCCTGTGCAGCTCTTTCCCAATGTGATTAACTCTGCTGGACCCACCACTCCTCCGGGCTGTTCCACAGCGTTCCCAGTGCCGGAGCAAAAGCCTTTTATGAATCACGTTTTAATCCGCGTCCCCCGGTCCCTGGGTATTGCACTACTTCAAAGAGCTTCCCAGTTTCCACCTCACCCTCTTTCTGTGGTGTGTTTCCAAACTCCAGCACCACTTTTGGGCCGAGTTCTTTGAGGCTTTTCACTAAACGTTTGGATAAAAAAGCCTCCCGTCGCAAACGAATGTCCCAGCGTTGTTTTCCAGTTGGTCTAAACTTTTTTTTTTTTGGGCAGCAGCTCCCAAAGGTTTCTGTGAGGTTTAGGGTTCTGCTGTGCTGGCCATGAAAAAACAGAAAAGTGGCACAAACCCTGTTTAAAGAGTCGAAAAGTCATTTTTTCTCACCATGGAGCCGTAGATGCAGCTGAGAACCAAATGCAAACAATTCTGAGTTGGTAATGACACAGCCAACCCACTCACTGTGTTCTCCTCCTAAGTGAGAGCTGAGCCTCTCTCCATTTGTGCAGTGTTGCAGCAAATCTGGCATTTATCCTCAATTACGGAGGATTATTGCAGGGAGAGAGAGGAATTCTGTGAGATTTGCTTGTTTATCGAGGATCTGCCTTTAATATCACCTAAGCTGGAGGTAATTGCTGCTGCCTGGGCTCCTCTGCAATGATTATTCAGCAGCACAGGTGCAGCATTTCAGGTGCTGAGCCAGCTTCCCGCTCACACAACCATGTTTGGTGCTTCTTTTCCATGGATACGGTGCCACCTGAGTCCCCTCTGCTGCCCCTTCCCAGAAATCCTCCCGGAAAGGCTCTTTATGGTGTTCCCTGCCTTTTGGTCAGGGTGTCCCTCTGGGGAGTGCCAAGCCTTGTTGTGAACAACCCACAGATCCCAAACTGAGTCCAGGTCTAGCTGGCTGAGCTTGGAATCTCCTGGGAATGCTGTGCAAGCTGCTCCACCCCCCGGCACAGCCTCCAAGCCCTGGGCAGACCCTGCCCTGCCCGAGGGAGAACAGAAACCCGGGATAACAATCTCCGCCCCCCCGGGCGGTGTCAGGTGCGGGTTGTTCCTCAGATTAGATGGATTCTTGGAGCTCAAGGGCACAACCACCACCCCTCATGTAAAATGGATGTCAGAGGTAACGAAACCTGTGTAAAGTGAGACGCTAAAACAATTTCCCAGGGTTTGCCGAAGGGAGTCTGGGAAAGGAAACGGGATTTGCTGCAGCCCTGGGTGAAGATAGAGAGGGAGGAGGGTTTTCTTGAGGTCACGGGGATGTGTGAGGGGACGTGGCAGGACTTGCAGGAAAGCAGGAGAGAGGCAAAAAATGATGGCAGAGAAGGAATGACGGGAGAGAGGACTCGGAGGGTGGAAACCTGAGAGCCAACAAACCGCCGGAGTTGTGCTGCGCCGAGGAAAAGCGGACTCGGAGGGAGCTCCGTGAACAAACAAGGATCACATCAAAGGGATTCCTGACGCCACCATCAAAGCAAGGTGTGAGGCAGGTCACTGGATCAAAGTTAATCCACCTAATTTCAGGGTAAATTGTGCAGAATTTAGGAGGCAATGAAAAAAAAATCCAGTTTTTCGTCACTCTTGGAGCTGGTTAAAATGTCCCCGGAGACTGGGCTCGCTCTGCAACAGGTTTCTGGTCCGGGGAGAGGGGAGGACTCTGCTGGTCATCAGGTCAGGGGGTCCCTGCTGGAATATTGGCTTTTAATGGCAGAGTTCGTGGAATCTCAGAATGGTTTGGGTGGGAAGGGACCTTAAAGATCACCCAGTTCCACTTCCCTGCCATGGGCAGGGACACCTCCCACTATCCAAGGTTGCTCCAAGCCCTGTCCAACCTTGTCTTGGACACTTCCAGGGATTCAGGGGCAGCCACAGCTTCTCTGGGAATTCCATGCCAGCCTCTCCCCACCCTCCCAGCCAAGAATTCCTTCCCAATGTCTCC